TCTGACACAGTCCCATGATAAAGGACAATGGGCAGACAACAAGGGTGTGTCCATGGATGCCCCCAGGTCTCTGTGGCTTCCGAGTTTCATGCCTCCTCTGGGTGGGAGTACTGCTGTCTTCTCTTCCTTCTGCACATGCCCCTTTGTATTTCCAGCAATTGTGTGTTCAACATCACAGCACAGCCCACTCCCAACATGTGTCCAGTGAATAAGCTAAAGAAACACTTAAACTCTGCAGTCCAAAATTTATAGAAGAAAAATAAGTTCTTGAAAATCAAATTTCCTACCAAAGCCCATTGCTATAATAGAAAATCAATAGCTGGGGTAGAGGAAGCTCCCACTTCCCACTATACCATATACCAATTATGAAAATCACTTGTTCATAGGCAGCTGAATTTTCATTTCCAACCCAAGCAGATCTAAAGGTACATCTTCTGCTAAATGAAAACAGCTGCTATGTGAACATGATGAGCAAAGGAGGAGGGGTAAAGGGGATAGAACCTCACCAAACACTAATTGAGAACATGCAACATACTTATGCAGTGAAGTTCACACTTCTCCCAAGCCAGGAAATGTCACTTCTGCCCTAGAGTTTAGCATAGAGATATCTGGTCAGTGAAGACTCATTATCAGTGGAATCTCATGTGAACCTCAAGTTGCTGAATTTCCTCTGAGTGTTGGAAGAAAAACTATGTACATAAACATTTCATCAAAAGAAGATACTCTCCACATGTCTCCCTTCCGTTGCTTGTTGCTGTTTTAAAATGATTTCATGTCTCCTAAAACTTCTGCCTTCCCTGACACCAGCAGCCTGGGGCAAGTTCTGTAGCATGCAGGCTTCCATTCTGTCAGAGTGAACAACCAACACTATACTTAGTCACAGAAAATATTCTTTCCTCACTTTGTCACTGTGAAGGCTTTGGGGCAGATGATATACAGGTCTGTATCTTGCAGACTTCATAAATCAGAATCTAGAAAGTATGTGACACTTATCTGCACTTGATCCTGTTAAAAATGCAACTGGTAATTTTAGAGATTTTACTAGGAGACGTATTTTATACCATTGGGTTTGAGAAGGAGTGAACCACAGACAGATCTGGAAGGGATCTGGGAGATCGTGTAGTTGAATTCTTTTGGTACCAGCAATAAAACATTTACTGAGACCCTTCTGTGTATCAGATGCCAAAATAAACACTAAAAAGAATGAGCTCGGTTTCTAGACTCAAGCTCACAGTCAACAAAGTCAACTATATGGCAATTTAATAGGGGTAAGAAAGAGTCCCAGGAGTAACTTAGCTTGTTAAAACTTCCAGGAAGACGTCTCTGAGGAGGTGGCATTTGAGCTGGGTTTGGCAGAGGAATTGGAGTTGTCAGTGAAGGTTGCATGAGGACTTAGGTACAGACAGATCCAGGGTGTGGCCAAGGGTCCACAGCTACCCAGGAGCAGAGCTAAACTGACGCAAACCCTTTGTCTTCTGCCCTGTGCCCCTGCACACTGCACCAGTGGCCTGCAGCTTAAAGAGAAACTATCTTGCTTCCAACTGATTCAAAATGCTTATTCTTTTAAAAGAATATTCAGGATGAAATGTCCAGAATGGTTTTCATAAAAACAGTGTTTAAAAAGCCACTACCGATTGAAACACCCAAGGAATGTACACCCTTCCAGGCAAATCCAGCAGGGGCCTCGCTCTGCCAGGACCTGCACCATTGGCCCTGAAATAAGACTGGTGTCGGACCAGTCCGGTGGTGGCAAACCTACGGTCCACATGCCACAGCAGATGCACGATGCAGCATGAGAGCCAAGTCACCCCAGCGCCGAGCATTGGATAACAGTTATTTTTTCTGAACTAAAACCTCAGTATTCAGGTTTCATTGCAGTGTTGGCACTTTGCGATTAGTAAGCAGATTTGAGTTGTAGTTTGTGCATTCGAGGTCTCTAAAAGTTTTGCCATCACTGGATGAGACTCTCTTGCTCTTCACTGTGTCTGTACTGCCTTAGAACCCTGCATGTGTTGGCAGAGAAACAGAGTGAGTGCTATTCCTCACACACAAAAGGAGCTGCATATCTAGACTCTGTCTGAACTTTTAAAATAGTTTCCAAGTTGGCCCTGAAAGGCACTGGGGAAAGGCCTTTTTACGAAGGGTACCACACTGTAAATGCCACCTCTTCCATCTCCAGCTCCATGGTCAGGCGCCCCCGCCAGGCAGCCCGCCCTCTGCTGGCTCAGACCCTTCAGCCAGTGAGCTGCTCTTTGGTGCTGTACTGTATTTCTTGATGCCCTTTTTACACAGTTGGTCTCCTAATGACCTATGGACTCCTGAACTTCTACAAGGAGAAGAAGCCATCCAGGGAATCATTTCTGCCATCATTTTACAGCCGAGGAAGGGGAGGCTCAGGGAGGGGAAGTTAGTTGTTTTAGGTTCCACAAACACACACTAGATGAATGGACCTCTTACTGCCAGGGAAAGATTTTTCTCTCGCGCAAGCTGCTGCCCAGGTTCTCCCTGTTAGGCAGCACTTTTTTTTTAACCTGAAAGGCTGCTCTTCTGTGTCCTAACACCTCCTTCAGCAGAGGCCTCTCAGTGTTGTTTGAATTTGCATCTCTTGAATGAACAGTGGTGCTGAACACTTTTTGATATATTTACCTGCATTTGTATTTCTTCATCTGAGAAGTGTGTATTCATCTCAGATGCCCAGTTTTGGATTGGGTCTTTAAATTTGGGGGGTCTGATTTTTTTCCATTGTTTTCTTTTTTGAGACAGGGTTTCACTATGCAGTTCAGGCTGGCCTCGAACTCACAGCGATTCTCCTGCCTCATCAATTCTTTATATGTTCTACATATTAGTCCTTTGTCTGTGGAACAACTGACTAAAATTTTTTCCCACTCTGTGGATTGTCTTTTCACTATGTTGATGGTTTCTTATATGCACACTCATGTTTACAGCAGCACAGTTTATAAAGCTAAATCTTGGAGACAGCCCAAATGTCTACCAACCGATGAATGGGTAAAGATGTGTTTTGGTTTTTCTTAATACAATGAAGTACTACTCAGCCATAAAGAAGGATAAACTTGAGACATTTCTCAGCAATTGAATGCACCTTAAGACTATACTCACAAGTGAAATAAACTGGACACACATGTAAATATCGCATTGTCTCTCCAGTGTGAGAAACTGGAAATGTAAATAAGGACCAAAACATATAATAGATAGTGTGAAATAGAAAGGCATTGTTCAAAAGGAAAGGGGAACTGGGTGAGGGAAAGGGGGAAAGGAAGGAACAGAAAAGAAAAAAATGAGAACAGAAGGATAAAATGGGATCAAAGCTTTGTAAATAAAGAGGGAAGAGGGGTTAAAGGGAGGGGAAAGGAATGGGAAAAAAGGAAGAATCAAGATATATCATATACAGGTACAATTCTCTATGATGAATGTGATCATTATGTATATCTAAATTATATCAATAAACGGAATTTTAAAAAAACCCAGAGACCTCAGTGGGCTTCTCGACTGCAAGCTGTGAGCTAAGGCAGTGAGTGGAATCCCTAACTGCCTCCCTCACTGACTGTACCCTGTGCTTTGCAGTCTGAACCCACTGACTCACTCTGTGACCTGGAGGAAGCTCTTGATTCCTTCTCCATTAAGAAGGGCTGGGTGTCTCTCCAATCCCTTCCGGCCTAAAAGTCCTAGAATTCTCTGCCCTTCATCAGCTCCTTTGCAGCCTTCAGGACTGGCCTCACTGCCCACAGCCCTGCCTTGTTCACGCCCTGGCTTTGGCTCTGGAATAAATTCCTGTGAGGCCCTAACAACACAGTGGCATGAACAGAGACTGGGCTTGAAATCCAAGGGTCTGGGTTCAAATCCTGCCTCTATGACTTAATAATCTGTGGCTTTGAACAAGTCACAGCAATACACAAAGACTGGTCAGATTCAGTGAGATGGAACTTCTGTGTGTAGTTGTTTCTTTGTTTTGTTTCATACCCAGCATTATTGAGAAGTGAGCTCTTCCAAAGAAGCAGACTTTCCAGATAGCAGGTTCACTTACTAGAGCTACAAAACATTACCTCATGTTTTATTCTAATCTTTCTGAAACTGATTCTGCATTTCCTTGACATTACCAATGGGATGAGGAGGAGTTAGAACAAGTAGCATTCCTGTAAAAAAGTAGGCATGGTGGAAGGTTCTGGAAATCTAAAGGGAATAGGGGAAAATGTGTATGCCTTTTGAGAGAGCTTGGGTTTTTTATCTTGGCTATTGGAGGGTCACTGAAGGGGTTTTAAGCATGAGGGTAAGGGAGCCGGGGTTGTAGCTCAGTGGCACAGCGCCTGCCTGGCAAGTACCAGTCTGTGAGTTCAATTCCTGGTACAAAAAAAGAAAAAAAAAAGAGTAAACATGAGGATGACAATGATCAGGTTTGTTTGACTCAGGCTGTGGGGTGGTAAATAAACTGGGATAGGAAAAAAGGAGAAAGCTGAAAAGCCAGCCACAGTGACGGTTGGTGGCAACCTGGATGGACAAATGGCGAATCAGAGGTGAGAAAAAGAGATTTGCAAATACCCAGCAGTTTTGCAGGAAAACAAATTGATGGAATATTGGCCCATTATGAGAAAAATACAAAGCACTGAGAAGATGATAAAAATCACCCAGGAACCCACTTCCCAAAGAAAACCGCTCCTCACAGGTTAAACTTTGTCCCAGTGGTGTTTTTGCTGAAAAACCTCTGGTGTGTTTGTAGAGACGAGTCTGATTTATAAAAATTTGACCCAGGCATTCTCCAGAACACAGCTCCTAATGCGGGTTGAGACATACTTGAGAGCAAGTGGGTGCAACACAGTTTCACCTCCATTGGTTTCTTTCCATGACTGGGCTGGAATAGTACTGGTACCCTTTCTCCACAGGATACCCTCAGACCTGAGAGTCTTGTTCATCCGAGGCTGGATTCTGAGCTCTCTGTGTTGTGGACAAGTTTCTCTTTTCAGCTGTCCCTCTCTTTTGTTCCCCAGAATCAGTGGATAACTGCCCCAGCAATTGCTATGGCAACGGCGACTGCATCTCAGGCACCTGCCACTGCTTCCTGGGCTTCCTGGGCCCCGACTGCGGCAGAGGTGAGCATACTCAAGGGTTCGGGGCCCACTTCAGGCAGCCTTGGGCTTCACTTCTCAGAGCAGGTGCAGAGAAGCCCAGGCCATCTCTGTGCCCAGAAGGGTTCCCGAGGGTCATACTTCAGAAGCCCATCGAGGAAGATCTACAGGTAGAATCCGCAAAGGTTGTGGGGAGGGCATCCCTCAAGGCACCAAAGTGAATTTAGTGTTCTTTGCTGGAGCAGGTGAAGTGGCATGGGGTCCTTTTACAAAGCCGCCTTTCCCTTTAAGGGGAGTGATCAACCCTTGCCAAGCATCTTTGAAGTTTCTCTTTATGCAAGTGTAATTTCTTTCTGGCCTGTGGGTAGAAGGCCTAGGGAACCTGACTGCCTTCTAGCAGCACACATAGCATCTTAGCTCAGACACCAGGCAGGGACTTGGGAGGCCAGGATGGCCTCTCACACCTGGCCCTAATGCTGCCTAATGCTTTGGCCTCTATACTAACCACTACTGAGGTAGCTTATAAGGCTGCCTACCTGCTACCCTGTGCTTTCGGCCTTCATTTCTATCCTGGAAGAATGAAGAGGGAAACTGCCAAAGGAGATCACTAGTCCTGAGACTTTGGCACTGTCCTTGGGAAACAAAAATAGGCTCTTCTTTTAGTTTGTTCATCATTTTATTCATTCAGCAGCAGTTTGCTTCATGCCCGCTTAAGGCTTGGTCCTTTACTGGGACTGGGGTTATGACACTGAGCAAACCCAGGCCTGGGAGTCCTCAGCGTGTTCTGGGATGCATGGGCAAGTAGGTAGCCTCACAGCAGCACCACGATGAGTGAAGCACACAGCAGCGCTGGAAAGGGACGCAGATCCGATGAGGACAGCTCTCAGATGAGTGGCGTTGGACCTGAGTGCTGAGGCCAGCGAAGCTGTCTGTGAGAGGAAGACAGAGATGGTTTTGGAGGCCGAGGGAACCATTTCCCGCAAGCACTATGCCATGATGCTGCTCTGGGGATTCTCTTATTTTAGCTAATGTGAAATAGACTCCGTTGGAGGCAGCAGAGCTGGCAGCCGTAGGAAGCACAGTGATTACCTGCTGAGAGCTTTAAAAAGGAAAGAAGCCAGGTGGGGGCCCGGGAAGGTGGTGCAGAGAGAGATGAGTCATTCCTCCTAACAAGAATTACTGTATCATCCCATATGCACTTAAAGTTAAGAGTCATGTCTAAAGCAGCCTTATTGTATCTCAGTAAGACTGGCAAGTACTTGCAGCACGATGCAATATAATTTATGTTTATATAGTGTCCTAGGGCTGATCACAAAACCTTTTCTGCTAAGAAGCGGAGTAGAAAGATAATACGTTAAAGGTCCTAGCTGGACTCAGCTCTTCTGTTCAGGCGGCAGTGGTATGGGCGGGTGGAGCATGAAAGACAAGGAAGCTGAGACTCACTGGCTGAAAGGCAACGGTAAAGGTGCTGCAGATGAGGCTGGCAAGGTGAGGACGGAGCGCTGTTAGACAGAGGGTGCTGGAGGAGAGCCTCTGGGCAGCATGAGGCCTGGCCACTGTCTTTTTCTGTGAGAATCAGACACAGCAGAAGCCTCCTGTCATTCATGGCAGGCACCACCCACATCAGCAGTAGGGAAGGACAGGGGAAGGCGGTGTCCAGTGTTCCCTGCACTGTGCATCTTCACCTGCAATTCCAGATGTGTTTAAACCACAGTGGAATAAAGCAGAAGCAGATGATAAACCTACGTGGGTGTTTCTGGCAAAGCACTGAGGCTGTTGGTTGCACCAGGCAGGCCAAGGGAAGGAAGGGAGAAAGGCCGATGGGGATGCTGGGTGATGATTCATACTGGGTTTCTGGTGCTGTCTCCACAGCCTCTTGCCCCGTGCTCTGCAGTGGGAACGGCCAGTACATGAAGGGCAGGTGCCTGTGCCACAGTGGCTGGAAGGGAGCGGAGTGCGACGTGCCCACCAACCAGTGCATCGACGTGGCCTGCAGCAATCATGGTACCTGTATCATGGGCACCTGTATCTGCAACCCTGGCTACAAGGGCGAGAGCTGTGAAGAAGGTGAGGCCTTCGGCTATAACTGTCCTCCAAGATGGAGGCCAGCACACACTGCTACGAGGGCAGTGAGGAAGCAGGGAGCCCACAGGAGCCTACAACCCAACCCCTACACCAAGAGCCTACCAATAACAGTGCTAAGGAAAAGGACAGGGCTGGGGATGTGGCTCAGTGGTACAGCACTTGCTCAGCATGTGTGAAGCCTTCAGTTCAATCCTCAGTCACACACACACACACACACACACACACACACATGCACGCGCGCGCGCGCACACACACGCACAAGTTCAGAGGAAGAGGACTAAGTTGTCAGGGGGCTGGTCCACAGAGGGCGTGAGGACTGTCACTGCACATTTATCAGACCGAAGTCTTCTGTGCTAGAGGCCTCAGACTATCTAATTTCCAATCCCAATAGGGAAGAATGCATCTTCACATCCGAGTTAGGGAAAGTGAGCCTCAGAATGCAGAATGATTCACCCAAGCCCGACTCGGCTGTTCTGGCTCCAGAGTCCGCATTCTTCACCCTCTTCCCCCTTTAAGGGCATCTGCTCATTTTCTGTCTCCATTTCTGAAATTGGAGGCTGCTACAGACCTCCACACTCCGCCTTCCTTTGTTACACTCTGTGTGTGAGTACACTTGTGCACATGTGTGTGTTCCCGTGTGGCTCTTCAGTGCTCACAGACATGCCTCTCTCCTTCATCAAGTAAACACGTGGCTAAGCAGATCAAGCATAGGAAGTGACATTCTGATTCAAGCATGACATCAGTTCTTTTATGGAAAATCTAACCATGTGAGATACATGAATATTTGTATTTTACTAACGAAGAGACTGAGGCCCAGGGAAGGCCAGTTACAGGTCCAGGGTCATAGAGCAGGGCTAGGATTCACCCCAGGTCATCTCCCTGTCATTCCAGTGCTCTTCTATCTCAGCTGCATGGGTGTCCAGACAAGAGAAGAAGCCTCACCAACAAGCATATGGAGTACCTTTTACGAGTATACTTTCTGGGCCACGCACGGTGACACAGTCTTGTAATCCCAGACGCTCAGAAGGCTGAGGCAGGAGGATCACAAATTTGAAGCCAGGCTGGGTAACTTAATAAGACTGTGTCTCAAAATAAAATTAAATTAGAAAAGGCTAGGGACATAGTTCAGTGTCAGAGTGCTTGCCTAGCATATGGGAGCCTCTGAGTTCAATCCCCAGTACTAAAAAAAAAAAAAGTACATTCTAGAATCAGATATGCATTTGAGTCATGGCTATGCCACTCACTAGCCTCAGTTCCCTCCCCTCTAAATGTGAATACCTTCCTCAGAGGGCCATTGTGAGGATCGAATTAAATGACCCATATAAAACATGTAACTCAGGGCCTGACACATAGTAAATGCTCCATAAATGCGGCTCTTATATTATTAGTATTGTTCTGGGGACAGTTGAAGCACATTTCACCCCACTTACTTCATCCAGGGTCTTTTGAAACGGATAGAGTCTTGGTCCAAAGCTGATGGGTGACGATGTGCATTTGTTATGTCCTATTCTCCTCCCTCTGTGCCCTGGCCTCTCCCTCAGTGGACAGAAGAGGCCCCCAAGGAGAGCTGGTCTTCTAAATCTATTTGGAATTTAACACAGATCCTCCATGTAAGGCATCATTTTCTCCTAAAAGAGAAAGGATGCTAACAGGCTACTTTCTAAGAGTAGGGAATGAGAAGGGATTAGTGTCTGAAAGGCCTGGCCTCCGGAGACGGACCTCTTGCACCTCTCGGCTTTGATGGGGATTGCTCTGGGCTGTACACAGGCGAGGAGCTCCAGCCCTGCAACAAAAGAACTTGGCTTCCTTATCCAGAGTACGGGGAGCTTCATCTGCTTTCCCTTTCATTTCGGTCACTCGAGGTCAAGACCCTGAGAAAGCAGGGGAAACAGGAGATCCCTGTGGAAACAGCGGCGGCCTCTCCGTGTGGGCCCGGGGGTGGGGTGGGGCTGGGGGTCTGTCCCCAGACAAAAGGGCACTGGACACTGCCCCAGAGCTGCAGGGTTATTTACAAAGAGAAAAAATGTTGTTTAGAAGTCTGATTTACATTATCTATTTGAAAAGAAATGTTTTCACTCCTGCTCTCTTTTCTGAGGAGGGCCATCTGGGACTGATTCCTTTTATTATTTTTCTCTCTGGTGAGGCGTCCTTGCATAGGCCTGTGTTTATAACAGGGTTTTCTCCGGGCCTTCCTCCCCCGCCCACTACCCCCTCCTCCTCCCTTGGCTCTGCACCAACTCGTTTCCCTGTGTTTATAAAACATCAGCTAACAAGCTTACTTTTTTCTCTCTCTCTTCCTTCTTCTGAAGTTTATTGCCCCATATTTTTTAAGGCTTGAACTGAGCCAGCAGGCTGCTTGGAGGGGGCTGAGGGTAGGGATGGAGGAGAAAAACCTCGACCCTTTACCAGGAAAAGTGAGACACTGCATGCTTGGTCTGAGGGGTGTCTCTTAGCTCGTGTGGTCACTGAAGTGTGGAACATTTTGGGGAAAGGGCTGTGTTTGCAGCCTGGTCATGCAGGCCTCGTCGTTCCATTAACGGACTCAGCTTTGGCCAGGAATTTTGCCTCACATGGCAAGCTCGGCAGAGGAAAAATATGTAATTGTCTGCACACCTTCTAAAAGGAAACTGAGTAAGACTGTTCTCTAACCAGGTTAGTCAACCTCCCTGACCACTTCCACCCTCTCCTGGATCATGCAGGTCCCATCCTACACCTGCCCATTGTTCCCAAGTTCCACGTGGCTCCCCAGAAATAGCTTGAGTTCCTTATGCCATTTCTGAGTTCCTACTACCCCAGAGGCCCACTGTGGCATAGATAACAGCCCCAGTTCAGGATTAGCAGAGTGCAGGGACAGAGTCACCCAGTGGAAACCTCAGCCAGTCCAGCCAAGGGTTCCTGAGGGTGCGGTGTCCTGCTCCACATTCGCCTTAGCCGCAGCAGGGAAGGTGAATTGTTTGCAGGTCAGCTCAGCTCACACCAGATCCTCCTGATCTTTGTTCTGTGATTCGACCATCTGCTGAAAGCATGGGAATCACAAACAAGACCATGACACCGAGAGCCTTTTGCTAATCTTGGCACCCTGCAGCCTGCCTGTTTGGGTGCAGATTTATAGGTTTGACCTCAGGGGTGCCCTGGACTTCTCAGAGACTACTACAACTCCAAGTTGGAATCCAGGCACTCACTGAACAGGAAATACCTTTATAGACCCCAGGGTAGGAATTGCTGAGTTGTTTCCTGTCAGATTAGAAAGCCCTCTGGATCCAGGGAATTATCATAGTAGCCTAATGGGCTGGAATAATCCTTCTGAGGGTCTGAGTTCTGAGGTAGGTCATGCGAATTTATCACTATTGTTATTTTTATTATTTTAATTACCAGGAACTCCAACAGATCATGCTTTAACCATTACTTAATGGAAACCAGAGACCGCAAAAGAAGAGTCTGCCTTCCTTTGGCTTTATTAATTCTCCACATTGCCTTGTTTCTTTCCATGCTTTGTTTTGAGTCCTGTTTTTAAGCCACTGCATGTGATTATGTGGGCATATACTCATGCATGTATTTTTGAACCAGTAAGATAATAGGAGATAACAGCAAGAGACCTAGAACAAGAAAGAGTAATTCAATTGTAAAATTTCTCTGCTGTACCATTGTGCTATAGCAAGTCACTTAACCTCACTGGGCTTCACTTTCTTCCCCTGGAAAATGAGAGTAGTAATAGCAGTTATCTCATATATAGTGTTGTTAGTATTAAATGAGATATTGAATATAAAATGTTTAATGGCAAAATGTAACACAGGGAGTGACTAAATTAATGCCAACTATTGTGATTATCACTGTTTTTATCAAATACTTGCTTCTAACCAGATGCCTGATCTTATTTACCATTTAGGGTAAGTTGAACTGCTTTCAAAACCTAAAGAGCCAGAAAACTCTCTTAATAAATTGGCCCTCAAATAAACATCCCCAAAATGTTGCCATTTATAAAGTCTCTGCCTATTTGTGTCAGTGACTGTTATATATCCAGGCCAGGTTTCTCAGACTTTTGTGCAAAAGTCAAATATACTCAATTGTAAAATATAACTAATAAATAAAAATGATGCCTGAGTTATAAAGGACTTCTGCCCATGGTTTACCAAATCGTGGTGCTGTGCAGATGGAGAAGTAACCTCTCTGCAACTCTAATCAGTTTATCGAGTCCTTTCAAATCCTCAATGGCATTTATTCTCATAGCAACCTGAGAGATGGGGATTTTTACATACCTGTTTTATAGTTGGGAAGCTAAGAGCAGACATGTAATTTGACCATGGACCTAGACCGAGTACATTATGTTTCCTAACCCTAGAATCTAAGTCTTCAGGACCAAGATGCTAAGTTCTTTCCTCTGCAGCATCGGGCTTTTTCATGAGCTCCTATAAGGTGGACCTCACTGAGTGTCATCAGCACTGTTTTTCCAACAGCTACATGCTGGGCCCCACAAGGACACCATGTCCACTCTCGAGTACGAAATGGATGGAATCCCCTTTCTTCCTAGAACAAAAGACAGACCTAAAAACTTTTTAGTAGAGGAGAGCAAGAGCAGGAATCAGCCTCCTTTGCCAATTCTGTCTTCTCTCTGCTATCGTTCACATTTTTCATATGAACTGCAAGTTAGTTAACAGAAGTTAATTCTCAGTAGTGTTTTACATATATGATTCAGTGCTTTGTGGAAGGTTAGCTGTCTTTGTTGATTTTATGGGTCCCAGAACTAAGGCTTTGATTTGAGAAATTCAGCCCTGATAGAAATATCATTAGCTTCAGAATCAGACAGATTTATGCTCAAATTCCTCTCTAGAGGTGGAGAACTGGAACCTTCATACACTATTGGTAGAAATGTAAAATAGTAGAGCTGCTTTGGAAAGCACTGTATTATTTCCTCAAAGAGTTAAAAATAGAATTACCATATGGTCCAGTAATTCTTCAGGGCATATAGTCATATAAATTGAAACCAGGATCTTGAAAGATATTTGCACACCCATGTTCATGGTAGCAGTATTCTTAGTAGCCAAAAGAGGGAAGCAACCTATGTGACCATGTGACAACTTATATGACCAAATGTGGTATATACAGGCAATAGAACACTATTCAGTCTTTAAAGGTAAGGAAATTCCAGCACACACCATCACAATGGTGAACCTCGAGAATATTATGTCAACTGAAATAAGTCAGTCACGGAAAAGCAAATACTGCATGATTTTACTTATATGAAATACTTGCAGTAATCAGGTTCTTAAAGACCATTTCCCTTGGCCCTGCAGGGGCTGCTTGACTGACAGCCATGACCTCTTAGCTCCCTCACATGAGAAGAAGCCATGCAAAGTAGGATATGTAAGGTTGAACGTCACTGAAATGTTTGCCCACACAAAAGTGATATTAAGTTCATATCAATCACAAGAATTTGGAGATGATGAAATCCAGTGGAATTTAACTGCAAGGTTAGTCTCCTGCTCATATAAATAAAACTACATTATGAAGTAAGAAGCAAGAAAAATTTATCCTGTGAAGATTTATTGAGTACCTCTTACATACTGGACACTGGTCCAGGTGGTGGGGGACAGAAACAAGCACACCAAGTCTTGTCATCCGTCTATTACTGTCCTGTATTATGTACATGGTAGGCACTAGGTGCTCTGCTGATGCTGGATACACATTTGTACTTTGTCCACCTCAAAAGCCAAGAGGTAGGGATTTATTTCCACATTTTACATGTGAGGAAACAGAGCCTCAGAGAGGCAAACAGCCAGTCCTTGGTAGAGTTGGTGGTATGGGCCTGCCACTGGCTAAAGCACTGCTCATTACCATACCACGGGGCCTCTCCACTGATAGTCAGCATCCTTCTCATAGAATGTTGGCTTACAGAAGCCTTGTGTTGCTGGCCAGATGCTCACCTGCTTTCTCTTTTCTCCTTGTCACAGTGGACTGCATGGACCCCACGTGTTCGGGCCGGGGTGTTTGCGTGAGAGGCGAGTGTCACTGCTCCGTAGGATGGGGAGGCACCAACTGCGAGTCGCCCAGGGCCACATGCTTGGACCAGTGTTCAGGCCATGGAACCTTTCTCCCAGACACCGGGCTTTGCAGCTGTGACCCAAGCTGGACTGGACACGACTGTTCTATTGGTAAATGAGGGAAGAAGAGGGTATTCACAGGGTAGGTGGGGAACGGAGGCTTCCACTGTAATGTGTTACCCATTAGGTCATAGTCAGTGGCACAACCCCACTCTCAGTGGCCTATCAATGGGTAACTCATGTCTCCAAATATTTTCTTCTTCCCTGGATGCTGGTCTTCTATGCCTGTCTTCTTAGATAGGCAGGGAACTCAAAAGTTATATTTTCACTTTATTCCTTGCCTAGTGGTGGTCTTGAATTCACAGCAGTGCCCCTGATCAACAGTCATAGTGGCACCTATAAGTATATATGTGTTTTACTGAACTCTGTCACAGTCGAATGGCTATCCCTGGGGGCAAAACAGCAAGCAGAGTCCCTGGCTCAGAACTGCAAGGGTAAGGGGTGAAAGTAGATTCTTATCCCAGGTACTGCACTCTTTGATTTCATCCATTTTTAGATTGAAGTCTAAGCTCAGTTTGGTTCTCTGTGATCTGGCCCCACTTGCCTCTCTGGCCAGTTGCTCTTCTAGATTGTAGGATCCATGGAGGTAACAAGCATGTCTACACATGGCTCCGGCCCCAGGACTCAGCATAGGCCTGGCCTACCACAGCTGCTTGGAAAATATTGATGAATGAATGAACACATGATTGAATGTGTTCTTGATCATGCTGATTCCCCACAGGATTTGTATGTATAAAGTTCAAAGGATGCTACTGTTGACATCCTTCCACTGGTAGTCACGTTATGACTCATAAGCCCTCTTGAGGGTAAAAAAAACATATATGAATCACTTGCCACCGTACTGGTACATAGTAGTTTATGTTCACATTTAATATCTCATTAATCTGCACAAATCCCTATGAGAAAGGAATTCTTGTCATTCCCGTTTCACCAGTTTATACAACAATTCAATTAATGAATGCTTATTGAGTACCTACAAGGTATATTAGTCAATCAGAAAGCAGAAGGTTCCTGCCTTGGTACAGCTTGCTTTCTGGGAAAGGAAGAATGGAGATCACAAAAACAAATTCGATAAAGAAACTCAGGCTCAGAGAATTTCAAAGAACCCATAGCTAAAAAACGATGGAATCTCTAACTCTACTTTTTTACTCTAAATCATTGTCCTCACCGTCCCATGTTGTTACAGCAAAGTGAAGCTCAAATTAGCTCATAACATAGTATATTAACAGTTCTGGTTGTAATCAGGAAAGATGTTGGAGAGCTCTGGCAAAGAAATGAAATCCATGCAGCATTCCTGTGGTTCGAGTGCCTTGTATTACCTTTCCCCTTTGAATGGAGGATTGACGTTCACTGCGCAGTCTAAATTGGACTTTTATCCTTGTTTGCAAAGCTCGTGTAAAGACATGATTGTGAGCGCAGATGTGCAGAGTCTCAGGAATAATTCTTTTATATAGCTCTGTTTATAGCAATATAATAAATGGTCCTCTTAAAGTTACGCTGGCTTGCATTGTTCATTATGTGGCCACAAAGCTAATTTATGATAGGTCTGTAACTGTGCCTTGCACTGTTAATCCCTGATGAAATTCCACAGTCTTGGAGGAGGCCAGTATAACTTTGTGTGAGATTTCTAAGTATTCTCTAGGATTTCCTATAAAAAAGAGATGGCAGAATCTTTGGAAGGGACTTTGAATAAGTTTCTTGATCTCATCTTGTTCTGTCCTGCATCACCACTCCCATAACTGATATAAAAAAATGTGTATGAACACATGTGGGGAGACAAGAGAAGCTTGTGCAGGAAATAAGCCTCAAGTCAGACAGACTCCAGTTCAGAACCTGCCCTGCTACTCACTAGTTATAATTTTAGGCAACTTAGTTTGCCCATCTGTGCCAGAGAGGGGGCTGGGAGAGGGAGAGAGGAGAAAGATGACAGAGAGGTGACAGACAGAGAAGCAGAGACAGATAACAATAGCACCTGCCTTTAGGGTTATTTTGAGAATTATTCAGGACTGCAGAAGAGAGCTTACGTGCTTTTTGGCCCATGGTATGAGCTCAGTAAATGTTATCTATTGTTATGATATTGATTAAAATAGCAGTTGGTGAAAGTGTTTGATACTAACAAAGACTTGCGAGAGTAAGGGGCAAGATGAGGTGCCCTTTCAGAAATATGGATCATGGTCTTTAAATGTCTAGCCTGTAACTGATTAAATGGTGCCATGATTGCCGTAAAATAGGGAATTTAAGACAGCTTCAAACTCCCCCTTCACAACAGTGATGGAAAATTGTGTTTTTTGAGGTGCCATAGCAAGAAATATGTTCATAGACAAACACACATCCCATAGCCACGGCTATGTGAGGTAAGGAAGACAGGTGTGGTATCGTAGCGTTCTGGCGATGAGGCCTGAGGGGCTGTGACTTGCCTGAGTCATGCTGGTGAGTGAGGAAGTGGGTTCAGACCCCAGCCCAGTGCTCTAGGCCTATCCTGCTTCGCATCACGCTGTGCTGCCTCCCCACAGGCCCCTGAGTGTCCTTCCCTGTCACTTCCCCTCTGTGGGCCGCCAGTTAGAGAATGAAAGTGTTTCAGTGTTCTGTCATCCTGTCTGCGCAGGCGTTACCTGCCTGGGTTCAACCCTAGTTCTGCCACTTGCTGTCTGTGTGACAGTGGCAGAAACTTAACTTTCCTTGACATCAGTTTCCTTATCTGAAGAATGGAGGTGAGAGTGCCTACCTCAGCAGTTTTGCAACTGTGAAATTATATCAGTTTTGTAGAGTGTCTGTCATAGAACAGTGACAGACAGAACAGTGTCTGTTGCAGAATAAATGTTTGATATGTTTCTGCCACCTCCCCACTGAGAGCACTTTCTCCGAGTAGAAGCTGTTTTGGAATGATTGAGTTTTTCCCATGAAGCCAAGCATAACCTCATTGTGTGGACTGTCTGTGTGTTCTGGGAGTTGGAGGACAGGCTCCAGGGCCTGTTTCAGAAGGCTTGCCCTTCATCACTTGAATATCTTCACCTCTCCACCCCTCAGTGTCCCCTTAGGTGCAGCACCTTACTGTTGTAAGGATTAGGTGAGAAAAAATGGGTAAAGTGGTTATCCTAGCTTCTGGTACAGCTCAGACCCTGGACAAGAAGGAGCTCCATCCACTTTATGCATGCTCTTTGCTTCTTGGCACACAAGTCTGGCACAGGCACTGCTCAGGGCCTTCTTCAGGGGCTGCAGCCAGCAGACACATCCTAAGTAGTCATTGCACTGTCAGTCTTGACAGTGGGCTGGCAGGTTGGCAGGGATGGGCTGGCCGACTGCCGCCTCCTAGGAAGGAGGACTGTCTCTTCCCTGAGATGCAGGTCTTGATGTTCGGCACCAAGAACAGGACTTAATGAAGGCAGCTTAAATCAACATGCCCCGCACTCAGCAGCCAGCCCTGTAATGAGATGTGAACTGACAAGTTCCTCCGCCCTCCAGTGAGGTGCGGAGAAACAGTGAAATCAGATTTTATACAAGCGTTTACTTGGGTCCTTGGTTCCCAGCAGCTTGGCTTCAAGTCTTATCTGAGAAACTCCTGAAATTCAGCCCCCACCAAGTCCTCTTTCCTGACAAGCCACCCAAGATAAGGGAACACATTCCCTGGCCCATAAGAGCACCCTCAACAAACTCCAGTCCTCAGCTCAGGGCCTAGTGGGGTGTCACTTCCTAAATCAATTGAGATGGTGATGACGATAATGATAGTGGTGGTGGTGATGATGTTGGTGGTTGCAGCCTTGACGATGAATAAAGGGAGGCAGCAATTGCTGCAACCGTTGTTATAAAAAGAGGAAAGGATTGGAGAGGGGATGGCTTGTCCAAACTAAAAAGCTTGTCAGCAGTGGACTTTGAATTAACTCCAAGCTGTCTCTTTCCAAGTCCTCAGCTGGAGGCCCCAATATGCCCCTCTAGGGTGTGTGCCCAATAACCTACACTCTACCACCAGGGCCTGTCTCCTAAATGGTCCGCCACTCCCAACAGTGCCACAGGTTAGGGACCAAGGCTTACACACATGATTTCTGGGGAACTTTCAAGATCTAACCTGTAGCCCTAAGCACTGTGATAAATAAGGGGTGCATTGCACTTGTGTCTCTCACACTGCACTGTGAGCTCCGTGTGGTCAGACTCCAAAGTATTCCTAGTACAGGGTCAAACATGCGTTAGGACAGGTTCTCCGTGATTACTGCACAAATGGCCTGCCAGTGAAGGGTCCGAGTAAGGACAAATATCCCACTGGGGGCACAGCAGGGAGGGCTGCAGCTGAAGCCTCTGCCCAGAAGACCCAGAGTACCACCAGACAGCTGCATTCTCTCAGGACTCCCTTCTTCCTGCCTGCTCACCACTGCCTTCCCTACCACCTCCCGTGTAGTCTGCAGAACCAAAAGCAAATCTCTGAGCTCCTTCTCTGTCACTTTCCAGATCTCGTTCATGCCAATTTCATACACAGTACCAAGCAGCCAGACCCTTCTTGGACAAGCACTGGCATCATTTCACCTCTTTCAAGCCATCTTCCCCAGGGAACACCCCTGCGAGGTGGGATGCCTCATCTGCCTCAAAGCGGGCATGCTCAGCAGCTGAGCAGCATGACTCCCCCGACCCCACTCCAACTGCTTAGTCGGCTCAGAGCTGGAATTTAACATCTCTGAGAAGGTCCTTGGAAATGAGAATACCTTTCTTTCAGAACCTGGTGACTTCTAAAGAAGGGTTCAGCCTCTGTGACATTTTCCAGGATACCGTCTCAAAGGCGAGCCCTTAAACTCCTCATTTACCCCTCCATTGGTTCCTTTTGGGGGCTTTTGTCCCACTCTCTCCCCATAGCCTCTGTTCGCAGCCTCATAAACCCATTCCTCATTCCCACTGCTCTGAGCTCTCTTCAGGTTTGTCTTCCATAAATTGACTTTTATTTGAGAGGAGCCTCTTGCTATGTTTTATTCCTTGGGGTTGCTGGCTCACAGAATCAGTACATGGCAGAGATCCTGCCTGTAAAATGCTCATGCTGGTGGTTTATGATTCTTATCATTTGATTGCAC